CAATGATTACAGAAGAAACACAGGATAACAATCCATGCACCTCAGACCTTAAGACCAAACAAGAGGAATCCTGGCTATATACCAGCCCTGAAAAACAGCTTAGCAGTACCATAAAGTGATCATTTCATGCACGAATCCCATTAGGGGTTAGGCATTAGGAACATTTAGTGTCCAAGGAAAAATTCTACCTCTTTAAAACACCTCTTGAGAGTCCAGTGAAATAAACTCTCATCTCTTTCCACAGCTGCATCCATGCAAAACCCAGCATGATCACTGAACACCTGAACAGGCAAAGCTAGCTCACACAGGAGCTGTGTATAATTTGAGGACAAAAATTAGCACTGCATTAATATGGTCAAGGATAAAAGAAGGAACTTGTGGGTTAGGTGCTACACTGAGACGTGGGTAGCTGCTCCAGGGCCTACCTCCACCAACAACTTACTAACAGCTCAGCTGTGATTATTGGTCATACTACAGTGGCAACAAAAGTCCTAGTGTGGTAGGTGGTCACAAATGAACGGGTCATTTTATGTCCCAAAGGTTTACCATTAAGTAACTTAAAGACAGACTAAGGATGAATTATAAGACCCAGCTGACCATGGGAGAATTGAGGCACAGAGCATTTCAATACACAGGGAAGATCCCACAGGAAATTTCTGATCAAGCTGTGGCTGGATATAAATTTCTCTTAACGATCAACTTCACACTCAGAAATTCCTTCATCTCCTGGGAACAAACAGTTTTCCTCATCCGGCTGTTTATGAAGATTAGCTTGGCAGAGTGAGATCACTACATGGGAGATGCTCTATATAAAATGCCCAAGGTATGAAGCCACAGCCTGAAATCATAAACGAGAAAAGGGGATTAAGCTGTTGAAGACTGTAAAGGTAATTTGTGCTGTAAACTATTCCCTAGGTATCGCAGGAACCAACTAGCCTTCAACAAAAGCAGGTGTGGAATAGCACAACTTTTCCACTGGCTGACAAACAGGGCTTGAAGTTTAAAATAGAAAAATAAAAAAAAAAATTCAAATCCAAAACAATTCGCATACTTTTAAAAAGAGTGAAAACCATTACCTGGTCATGTTTAAACAGGTAGTGGCATTGATGGCACCAGAAATGGTCCCTTCAGCACCCATGTCCATCTTCTCCTTCCTTCAGTTCCCTTCCTTCCTCCCTCCTGTACTTCCTTCTATGATTTCTTGACAAGAATGGAAAAAGAGGCACTAGATTTACAAACTGATCCTTACCTGATACAGCAGGGATTTGGCTGGGACTCGACACCTTCCACACAAGATGAGCCACAGCACATCTGCAGCTCCAAGGCAGTTGCACGTGCTTGCTTATCCCATCAAATGCAAGTATCTTAGTCTTCATCAAGACACGTATAAACAACATTTACCACAGGGTAAGAATATAAAAATGGATGATCAGAGCAGCTGACCTGTTGAGAGCTCACCACGTAAGACCCTCACATGGCTCCTTGGTTTGCTTTACCACCATGCTGCAAGATCTGGCTCTTTCATTCCAGGAGGAAGAAGGGGGAACTGGACAGAAAAACGTAGCATGAAACCTCAGGTCTGATTGTCTTTTATTTCCACCCACAGTGCAGCAGGAAAAGGCTGGAATCTATTAAGTAGTTCAAAATTGAACCGAATCCAGTTGCCAAGCTGAACACTTGATGTGTATGGAAAAAAAATTTTAAAAATCACCACAATATCACTTCTAGCAGTTATGAAAGCACAGAGGTACAGGCATTATAAACCCAGTCTCCTGAAAAGCTTGCTTTCAGACAGCATACTGATTAGCAACTAGTAAGATATTTACCACTTTTAAAGTCAGTCTAACATGTCGAAGGAACAGAAGGAAAACTCTTCTCCTCGTGGTCTATGGGATGGGATATGGGCTTTCTAATCAGGGAGATGATGTTCCGATTCTGGTTGGCATGGGTTTGCTGTAGGATTACCAATGAGAAAGCTAAAAATATTGGCTTGGCCAAGAGTGTCCAGAATTAGGCAGCTTCATGTGAAACCTGTCAGAGCTGCAGGTCCTCTGAAACCACAAGCAGGAGAAAAGGTGACCAAGAAGTTTGGTGCATCCATCATCTCTTGGTGGCACTTTGATACCTTGATTCTCTCTTCCTGTAAAACATCACCTCTAGTTCAGAATTGGTTTAACTAAAGGTAAAGGCTTGGCAAACAGACAGACCTGAAATCACGTGGCCTATTTTAGGCAAATATGAATTTTGAGGCCTTACCACGGTACATACCTATTTCTATACCTGTTACCACCTCTGTACAACGCAGGCAGTGATTTTTACAGAATTTTATGAATGTCGTGAGATGACTTAAAGCTGATACATCCTCCAGTATGCACCATGCAGCATAACCAGCAAGCCCAGTCAAAAACTCAGCCCAAACCCTCTGTTAAATACACGTGATTAATACAGTGTATTAGAGAAAAAATAAAAATAAAATGCAAGCCTGAAGCGTGGTTTGCTTCTTACGCAGAAGTTACAAGGAGGAGAATGGAGGCAGCCCAAGAGGTTAATTTCCTAAAGGAGAATTCAAGTCCTGGAAACCATTTCACTGAACATGGATTAGTTTTCCAGCCTCTGGCATCAGCAGCTTGGCAACACGGGGAGGGCTGAACAGAGATGCCATAATGGACGGGAGCCCTTGGCATTGTTGCATACCTGCAATTACCCTCTCCTGACGCTGTTTGCGTTCTCATGGCTGTAAACAACAGTCACTGCCCCACAAAGCATCGCATTAAAAACAAGTACCATATGGAAGAGATCAGAACATTTCCGAGTAGGTCCTTTCTTTCTCAAAAGGACTAAAGCAGTCCTCACAGCACTGAAGCTCACCAAAATACACGCTCGTTGGTCTAAACTGGAAGCAAAATGTTAAGCTGCAAGTGTTTTACAAGCCTACGATAAACACTACACAACGATGAAAAGTCTCATTGAGCCTCACTGAGTGTTAGAAGATGGTCCTGCTCCTAATGCTTCAGAGGCTTAAGTACAGTTTATGGCTTAAGTCTTTCTTGCAGGCTGATTCTTAAATCTGTCAACAGTCTGGTGTCTCTGTTTCCACCACAGTGAAATGGGGGGAACTATAATTCACTCAGAAGGAGGTTCCAGTGGGTTCAACATTCATTCATAGTACCCAGAACTGTTGGGTTTGCTCCCCTAATTACAAAAGTAGCTCCACACTAGGATGGGCACTTTTAACATAAATTGGAGCTCGAGATTATCAGCGTTTTTAGGGTACTGAACAGATAAGAAACAGTGATATTGCCATGTTACAGATAAGCAACTGAAACACCAAGAATAAAGATCCTCGTTCTGAGTTGATGCAAAGGGAGCACACCCAAAGCGAGCATGAAGTTCAAGAGAGGGGATCTGAATTAAATCCCAAGCAATGTGCATGGCTGACAGCCTGTAGCAGTACCAGAAATGAAACCTGGATAGACTAAGGGCTGATCTTCTGCCTCCAGTTTCCTTCTCCTCTCAGCAGCAGTCCCATCCTACCCAGCACAGCAGATTTCCTCTTCCAGGAATCTCAAGCACTGTTTCCCCCCCTCCATCCTGATATAATCCAGTCCACCAAAGCTCATTCTTTGCTGTCAGCTCCTGACTAGATTCTCAGCCAGCAAAACCAGGGTCTACACCCAAATCTATGCCATCCTTTTGAGTGGCAAAAGTCCCATTGCTCTCCTCCTTCCTTACTACTGTCTCACCCCCATGAGCATCCTTAGGGTTCAATGGTTAAGCTGTTGCATAAAAAGCCAGGGCAGTTCTACCTCCTTTTTTTTTTTTTTTTTTTTTTTTTTTTAAATCCACAGTGCTAAGCAGAAAAGCTGAGAGCACAGTGCCCATGGCTAACACCCAGGCTGGGCACTTTTGGAAACCAGACAGTTTAAGCCTTAACTCCATACTATGAGCTGACATGGGCTGGTATGGCCAAGGTGCACTGCTGGCTCTGAGGCAATAGCTTGTGACATCATCATCTGTTTGGCTGAATCCATTTGGTTTAATTAGATCCAGGATCTAATTAAGCGCTTAGGAAACAATCAAAAAAATGCCAGAATCCTGAACTCAGGCTTCTTAATTTTGGTGTTGAACTACTTTAACCCCTCTGCTGCCAAACCGTAACAGGGTTAAAATCTACTGGTTTAAAATTAAACCACTTGACAGAAGCCAGGACGGACTTTTAAACCATTAAGCAAACACTTTTCCACTTCAAACAGGAGGCAGCTTGAATCCAGGGTGCTTGTTTTGTCTTTGGTGTGCCCTGGCTCACACGCAGCTGGCCCCACAGGCTAGATGAGCCTCGATGAGGCAAAATGCTCACCAGTGGCAGCACGGGCTCACTGGGCACCACTGCCACAGGGATTAGGCTAGTGGGCAAAACCTAAGCCAGCACACTTCCCCCTGGGTCCACAATGGACAGCCCAAGCAGCCCCACCAGGAGCCTCGTGCCAAGCTGCAAGTTGCAAACACACAAGCCCGGGATGGTAGATGAGCCAAGCACCGTTTATTCTGCAAAGCCCAGCTGTTAAACCTATGACTAGGACCATTAAAATTTTTTTTTCCCCTCTCCCAGGCTGAGGTTTGACATCGCTCACACGCAGCGAGCAGAGGCAAGGGCTACTGCTGCCATGGTTTGTCATATTAAAAAGCAACCAGAGCCAATTTCTCCCTCCCAAGCACTCTTCCCAGAGGCAGGCTTCAACATTTGCAAGCAGCTTTGCTCCATTTCCTTCTGTGAAGAGCATAACGGTGGTTTCAAAGCACTGGCTTTAGAAACACAGACAGCTATTATGAGGCTTTGGTTAAATTAATTAATTGCCTGAAAAAAGCTCCTTACACCACTTGTCTGAGGATTGCAAAATGCCACGTTTATTACCAGCGTTTCAATGATTCCACAGGAGACATTCAAACTCCTATGGAGAAATATGTTAAGCTCCAGGTCATTTCAGGCTCACTCATCACTGCCATGAACACACATGGGATTATAAACCTGCCATATGACACAATACAATCTCGTTCTATTTTGCAGGAGTTGAAAAGCCTTCCCCCCAAAAAGGCTACTTATTTTTTAGGTTAGAATCTCTCTTATTAGTTTGTTCCTTATATACCTCTTAATAAGAAAGCCCCTCACTTTTCACATTGTAGTAGAAGACTTACAAAGAACTAACAAACTGCATATAAAAGGCAAAAGTGATCCTAGAAGTACCTCTCTAAGCCTCATGCAGATAACACATCAGTGAAGAATGAAGCACAAGAATAGTGTTTGGCACGTTACCAGCTGCATCTTCCCCTGTGGAGCACTGGTCCGGAGCTGTGACACAATTTGGAAAATAATGGTGCTTGGGTTTAGAGTAAAAGGAACTTAGGAGGCTCTAAGCACTCTTGGCAATAACAGAAGCTGTATTATTACATAGTAAGAGGAGTCTTGATCAGAGTGAAATATTTATACTTGTGTACCAAGTTGTTCGAATTGTGACATGTCCAAGCAGTTCTTAGTCCACTCTACAGGAGCTGGAGCAGTTTCTATGCCACAGTCTCCAGGACAGAGTATACTGTGCTGACATCCACCCACTTCACTGTCCAGCTGAGGAGAGATTGACATTCACATTGATAATATTCCACCAGTTAACATCTTCCTTTTTTTTTTTTTTTTTTTTTAAAATTAAAAAAAGCCTATCCTAAAGCCCAGCCCTACACAAAATGATTTAATTCTGAAATTAAATTCTGTTCCACAATATGAGAAAGGGGTAGATAAACAGTATTTTTACTGCAACTTCTCAGCCAAGTGAATAACAAGAGAGAAAATCATTATTCCAAGATATTTAATAGAGAGAAATTACAGATTGAAAGTCCTCTGGGCACATGAAATTCAGCTAATGCACAGCTCTAGAATGGGTCACTTCTTACAAACAATATCACAATTTTTTTGCTTTAGCATGGACATTTTGGAGTAACACAAACCACAAAATACTGAATCAGATGCAACAGCTAGTGTTAAAAATCACAACAATAAGTATGGCACAAAGAATGCTAAACTAGATGACATGTAATTAGTATTTACTTTTGGCAATCCTGGTTTGGACTAATTCAGAGATTCGTTCCCAGTCAGCACCAGGTTCAGTTAACACACATTTTGTGCAAAGTATACTTTTAAATTAATGAAATAATTACTTTTGTAAACATATCTTCCTTTCACAGTAAAAACAACAGTGATTTGGGGATCAGAAACAAACAAGAGAACCCCAGACATTATTTTATTTCATAGTACACATAATGTATGTATATATAATCGCCATATTCAGCAAGTAGGTAAAGTGCATGCCAATAACAACTTGGACTGTAAATTAAGAACTTGCAGTGCAGAAGTACACTTTACTCCAATACTAACAAACTAATATTAAGTAATACAAAACAAGGTAGAGTAAGATCTTGAAAACAACATATTCCATGCGATTTGCTGTACCGTTCTTTAAAAGGTAGGCTGCGTTATTCTGCAACTGGAAAATTTCACACCAACTATCAGTGGAATAAGCAGTGGAAAGCTTCACTAGTTAAATATATTGCACCAAAGTGTATTTGAAAGCAATAGAAAAAGAACTGTTTAATATAAAACACTTTAACACCCCCCACCCCACCCCCCAAACATATTAAAACAGCTACTTTGAACTAAAATAGCTGGTAGACTGTAGGAACTGATGAAATGTGAGTTCTCTGCCACAGGCAATAGATACATGGATTACCTGGAATCTCTAGTACATAGTGTGAAGCAAGTTAGGGGCAGAAAAAGTCTCCACTGTCCTGTAGTCTCAATGGAGCCAACTGTAAACTCAACAAAAATCTATCAGACAACGATTCACAGTATTCCCTTTCATTTTAGAAATACAGATCTACAAGAAGTCTTGAAATGCTTTACCACCAGTTAGTGCAAATAAATAAAAGCCACAAGATACATGGATGTACCATGACTGTCAAATGTTATACAGATGTCTACAGCTTCGACCATAGGCCCCTCAGCCTGTGAGTCTGGAGCAGACACAAAACCCACACGAAGCTCCACACAACTCATGATATTCCCATTTAGAGAGTCAGAGATGAATGGTAGGGATGTCCTTGGAAAATGAAGGACAGAGAAGCAAAAGGACAAGAGACCTTCCACTAACATCCACCAGAGATGCGGCAGCCCAGACCCAACATGGTATTTAGGGACCAGCCTAACTGAATGCTACATTCATGATGCTCTGAGGACACTGCATCCCATGTCAGACTATTACTAAAAATATAAACCCACTGTGTGTGCAAGTGAGGGATATAAAAATGGCAAACTCCAAGAACTGAGTAAATTCACCTGTGAAGAAAATCACCTCCTCCATTCTAAAATCAATTTCTTCACTATCTCTGCAGTTCAAAGGGGAAAAATAAAACACACACAAATGCATAGATGATCATCGAAGATCAGCACTCCCTTTCTGGAAAGCAGAAGCATCTATATGACTTCGACACTTTTTATAAGTGCCTTAATTTCCACTATTTATGGAGTGGAAAAAAAAAAAAAAAAAAATCTGCTCAATAAGCAGATGTATCTACCAATACTTGCACATTAACTAACCTTCTTCTCTTGATTTCCCAGGATATGGCAACAGACAGCAGCTGTGGCCACTAAGTCTTCATCACTCTTATAAAATTTCTGGGTACATTAAAAGCATGATTGAAACTTATTAAAACTATTTGCTCAGGGAACACAAGGTTTTATCACCATCATTTGCTCACCTCAGCATTAACTTACACAAAAAAGCCTCAATGACTTGCAGTTGGACATCTGGCCCTTAGTTCAGCTATTAACTATTTTAAAGAAAGACCTTCAGAGATAATTAATAGGCTGTAATCATCTAAAGTAGTCTCATATGCAGTACATTTCTCCTTTACTTCTTCGTTGCAGTAAAAAACCCCCCCAAAAAACGACTTTCAAAAGCAGCAACATAAAAAAAGCACATAAAAGTTGATTCAGATTATATCACATCCCTTCATATTTACAGTTTTTCTGTAGTAAAGAATCCACTATCATTGTTTCACCACAATTAACAGTCTTGGCCTTTCTAAACCAGCCTTCAAACATCATCCAAGTCTGGAAACATTTTTCAAAACCCTCAGGAACTCGACAATAGCAGCATCGTATTCCAGACAATTTTGCAAACACCTCCCGTGCAATCAAATTGAGAATTTAAAGTAACAGTCTTGGAAAAATACAGTTCCCTGAACCTCCTCTTCCTCTCGATACCATCCCCTGGGGCTCCTGCAGGAGCTACGTTAGTTTCTTTATTCTGCGGTTCTGCTTGTCAATATTCAGTGTCGCGCGGTCTACGGAGGTAGTGATGGAATCAAGAGCTTCATCCTGTCTCTCCAGCTCGGCTTCTGTCTCCAAGGCAAGGCCCTTCAGCTTCTTTAGTATCTGTCAGAAGAAAAGACTGAGAGCTTTCAGTGATGGACCAGCCGTCTCCTTGAGAAATGCAATGGACCCACGGCAATTAGTTATTTCATTGCTCTAAAGGACCAAATCATTTGCTGGAGTCTGCCCTGGTGAAAAGACACAGGTCTTGCTCCCATAAGCTGAACTGAGATGAACTAAAACAATGAATGAAAGACCAGAAAAATTAAATTTTAAATGTTAGGTTTGGGGAGTGAGCAATTAGAATTAAAAATCAGTGTAAACATCAGCTTTTTGCTGTTATCCTTGGTACATCTGCATCTTAGAGCAGTAGCTTGTCCTGAGATGTTGTGCAGCATGCTGAGAGCCAAGGCAGATAGAGAGCACGGCTGGTGCAAAGCCAGGAAGGGATCATGCGGCTGAGGGCGTAGCGAGGTTAGGCAGGGACCAGGTCAAAGGACAGAAAATGTTTTACTACAATCCACTAAAGAAAGAAGCGTCATTGGATGGAGCAGAAGGGAAAAAGTGAGACTTGGGCAACCAAACAAATAATTTTCAAGGGACTAAGAGGGTGGTGTGGTATGAATGGATGTCAAGGCAGCCAAGAGGCTCATGCTGTACCCGAGATGAGAAACAACAGATGCACTGGCTACAGCTCTATTCCAGGCTGCAAGCATTATATTACATATCAACCGGTTTACACGATACTTAGCAAATTACTGTTTGTATGCGGGACTGTGAGCAAACACCCTGAGCTACTCCAAGACAGTGAGGAGACCCTAGTTGTTTGAAAAAGCCTATAGATACTGCCCAAACAGGGCAGAGGCCTCTAAAGTGAAAGGAGAAAGACAGGCTGATGCATTCTTAAGGCTAGGAGACATCCGTACCGATACCATATGGCTGCTCATCTTTAATTTTCATCAGTTCACACAACCAAGTCCAAGAGCAGAGATCCAAACAACACAAGAAAAATCTGTCTTAATTCCTTACCCTGTGACACTGGTCCCTTTTAGCAGCAGTCCCAGGCATGAGTTATATATCATTGCCTTTTCTTCCCTCTTGTGGCTACTCCCTTAATAAGCCTGGTTGCATGAACTGAAAGCACCTGCTTTCAGCAAGCCTCAGCTGCCTTCCCTTGGACATATCAGTGGGAGATTTGGAAGCACCATACCATCCTGACTGGAAATCCAGCTTCTCAGTTGCTTCAGACCATAAAGAAGTTGTCTCTATGCTCACTGCTGGCCTACATGATCTGCCGCCTTTGGCATCCACAGATGGGTCCATGAGGATCTCCCCACTCTGCCTGCTTAATAAGAGCAGTTTATCCAATCAATTGAAGTAATAGTCTCCAGGAAAGCAAATCATCCCAGAGCTATCCCACACCACCAACTGCTGTGATACATGAGCATCCAGGTAACACTACTGAAGATACCAGAACTGCAGCCTGTTTAACAAAATAAATCTGTGGCTACTGGTAAAACAGGGAAAAAGAATAGTGCTCTATACAGATTTAACTTTACTTTTTTTCAAAACAACTGGCAAACTCTTGTTTTCTTGTTTTCCTTCTAGAACATATATATCATCAGACCCCAGAAAGCTGCTGTGAAACATCAGCAACCCCTCTGCCCACATGTGGGGCTGAATTCCACAGCAGGCCCATCATTTGCAGCTATGACAGTTACCGGTTTGAGAAAAGCAGTGAGGAATATCATATCTAGCTGGAATGGCAGGGGAATTTTACGCAGACAAAATGCTTTGACTAAAGCTGGACGTCAGCCACAGTAGTGAGATTTATCTCATAAAATATCTCTCAGCTCTCTCCATAAATCACTAGCAGCTAGAAATACGGCTGTGTGAATAACTGGTTTTGCAATTTGGCTGCCAAAGCAAAAATACAAAACAAACCATGGATCAAGCTTAATCTACCTTCTTCTGTTCTTACCAAAACTACAAGCTAAAACCCCTTCTGTTTCTATTCCAAATGAAACACTTCAGGTTCTTTCACTATAACAGGAAAGCGAGCCTGAATTCCCCAAACTGGAGGTGGTAGACGTGTGTGGGATACGTACCAAAAAGAAAAATTACATGATCCAATCTACCATCTATATGATTCAGAACATAGGTCTGAAATAAGGTCTTTCCTCTCCTGAAGAAATAACTCTACTACTTGGAAAGGGGGAGTTCAGAGGTGGCTCTCCCTCAGTCCTTCCTTTGAGCTGCTTCTGAACATATTTTCTATATACAGACATACAGATAAGTACATAAAAGAGTCAGTGCTACATGAAATAACTCCTACCATTCAGAAAGTCACAGTATAATTAAGATTAGAAAACAACTCTGCAGGTCTTCTGGTCCACTCCATCCAAGGAAGAGCAGGGCCAGCTTCAATGTTCAGCTGAGAGAAGATTACAAGGGTTTCAGCCTCCACTCCAAGAAATGAGTATAAATAATTAAAAGCTTAAGACAGAAGAGACCTCACTCCTTCGGTATATCCTAAAGGATGGCAGTGAAAAGCATGTGCTTCATCATTCACAGATGATTTAAAGATGGTTCATGCTGATATTTTTTCAGCAAGTTTACTAAAAAGTTTTATTCAAGAGCATCCTAAAATTTGTTTTCCAGCACAGCAGAACAGAAGCAGCAGAAACTGCCAACGCTTTCTAGATTATGGCTCAGCTTGACAGGTGCTCCAGGATCATCCCTTTGGCTGTTCAACACCTCTACCTTTTGCTGAAGCAAGGCACGTGATTTTGGAGGTTTATCACCAAGCACCCTTAGTAGTGTGATAAGTTCAGCTTTCTTGAGCCGTGTCCTCACCCAGCACATCTCAGTTTGTGAAACTCATTGAGGCAAGCCCATAAGGTCAATGTGGTGACACGTGGTGCAAGCCTCCAAAAGTGCCATGAGGCAAAGCAAGGTTTGGCATGAGAGGATGCAGAAAGGAAGCTGGGACACTCTTCCTTCCCCACTTCTCCAAGAGCCACCCAATTTATTTGTAAATCAAAATTGTGCCAAAAAAAGGCCCAGATTTACCAGGAAAACCAGTTTACTTTTAGTTTCAAAGCAGATTACTTTTGATAGCATTCATTAGAGCATAGTTAACATCGAAAATACAGAAAGACACACAATTGTTGAGCACAGAAAAGCTTTTAAAATATAAAAGTAGTAAAATGGAAACTCAGCCAGCTACAGGGCTCTGCTCAGTTCACCTGCCAATTAGGCTCTGCCTTGAAACAAAGAAGGCAATGACGGTGTGGTTACTCACACACAAAAAAGACAAGCAGCTCACTTTTATCTGTTAATTTGCTTTGCTTAAGAGAGTTTGGTAATAAATCCCTTAACCCTTTCTCTGTCAGCATCTTCAACCGTTCAGTGCTGCTGCTCAGTCCAATGGGACCTGAAATGGTTAACATGCTTTTCCAGCACAGCCCACAGAGCTTGCTGGAAAGAGTTACTGGAATCTGAAGTATGGCCAAAGCTGGTCACTATTTTTGCAAAGCAAAATGATGGCAAGATGTCTAGTTATCACTGCTCCAGTTCTGTCAGCTGCTCAGAGCAGCAGTGCCTTCTGTGCCAGCACGTAATTTGGACAGCAAACCAAGACATAAAAACTCAGCGTGAAACTCTATCTGTTACACAAAGCCAAACAGCAGGTATGAGCCCATCAAAGATTTCATTTTAAAGGCACATTTCCTCAGGCACTGGTCAGTCTCACATGGAGACAACCTCAGATTTATGCCACCAGATTATAATTTGGAAAGTCTGATTTATCCTTGTGGCTCAGCCACAGATTTTCTGTGCAAATCCAGGCAAGTTACCTAATATTCCCACGCAGAGTTCTCGCTGTAAAAAACAAGGAAGTACTGCTCTCCAAATCCACCCTGTGTCAAGTGTTCAGCTACAGCAGACTTGGGCCTTGCTGGGGGGAGAGGTGTCCATGCAAGCTTTGTACCTCAAATTCTCCTGTAGACTATGGGGACCTAGACAATGCAGTACAGTTCAGGTCGTGATTCATCTGCTCTATTTTATGTACCTGCTTAAAGTTCAAGAGTTGCCCATTCCTCCCTGATTTGGCTCAAGTGAGATCCGAGCAACCAGTTCAGTTGGAGCAGAGAAACAAATGGAATGATGGGAGAGGACTCCAAACCCATGAACCTACTCAGTACTTAGCCCCATTACTTTCTCATTTTGCCACACCACCTGAAGAGCTAAACTCTAAGTGTCAGGCACTGTACAAACAAAGATTGTATCCTAAAGATCTTACAATGGAGACCACAGTTTAGTTTGGGTCCTGAGATGCCATCATAATAACATAACTTAGCTAAAGCTTGTGAAATATGATCTACCTCCTTAGTATGTTCTGTATCCAGCAGTAAAAATAAGATACAGAAAGCAACACTGTGCAGGAAACATGGCCAGTTGTAGTCTGAACTCCCTGAAATCTCTCCCAATATCCGTTCCATTATCTCTAGGCAACGGAGGTCTGAATGCTGAAGCAGAACACACATAACCAGAAATGCCTCTTGAATGCAGCTTTCCCAGCCAAATTCACGTGTTGTGAGGAAACAAAGAACTGCCATTGGCAGTACTCTGAACCAGGGTGCAAACAGAGGTTTTGACACTGATAATGTATCATTATTTAATACGGTGCTTCATCTCTGTGCTGAACATATTGCAGGTGAGGAAGAAGCAAGGACAACACCTAAAACATTACAATTCATAGTCCCATCATAAACTTAAGCCCACTAGGACCTGAGTGATCTTTCAGTGAAAATATTAAAGAGACCTGTCCGCATCCTCTCCTGTAGCACCTGGAAATGGGCAGGGAGAGAGTAGAGAGTGGGAATATCTTAAACCACTGCAACACAATTTACTAGAGGGCATTTGTCAATGTCTCATGAGACAAGTGCAACTTACCGTAAGAAAAATCTATGAATTTACGTTGCTTTAACATGGGTCCTGTTCGGGATTGCTGTTATCAGCACTTGCCTGCAGCTGTGCAAAGCACAGACATTCCTTCTGCTTGATCCCAAGTTGTGTCTGGTGTACAAATACCCAAGCTCTACACCAGCCACTTGCAAAAGTGCCTCTGCTTGCTCTTGAAAATCTGGCTGTCTCCTGTAGCACAAAACTTCTGAGCACAGAAAACATGGGAATAGGCAAGTTTAACAGGACAGCAGGTCCTTTGTATCTGAAGCACACAAAACCAGACAAATTTTAAAGCATCAGCTCTTTTGAGCCAGTGGCTTTTCTGACAGTATGGGAGGGTCACTGTTTACTATATTATTCTTTGTGGCTGATTTCTCCCATTATTTCTTCTTGGACTGATACAGAAGTCTGATTTTACTTACATTCTCAGAAAGTACAAAGCACTTATGCTGCCACTAACGTATCACCGGCCTTGTCTGGAAAAAAATACTCAAGCAGCTCCACAGGTTTAACTACCACCTTTTATTTTGGTACCATCAAGTACTTAAGTTACACACAAGCAAATACAAAATGTTAGTTGTGAGGACCTCAGTTCTCTCTCTGTATTGTGCCTTCCAAAAAATAAACCCCAGGCATGGTCATTACACGTGTCTGTTAAGATCAGTTGTCTGTTGATTGCTATAGGCCATGGAACACGGCCATCCTATGAGCAAATTTGGTATTTAGCACTTGGAATGAATGGTTCCTCAACAAAAAGCTTTTTCTCTGACCTAACAGTTGTGATTTCCTGAGTTGAGGGCATGATAAAAGGGTAAATAAACACTGAAGAGATTCTGAAAGTAGTAAAGGACTGAAATGGAAGCATCTAGACCCAAGAAGACATTGAGGAAGCAACCATCAAAAAGACATGCACCAGGATGTGGGTTTTTTCCCAGATGTTACAGAATTAAGTTCTTTAATACTATCTCTATGTTTATGGCATATGCAATCTGTAGACAGTAAATATCAGGGCAACAGTTCTTTGGCAGGAATGTTTTCAGGAATTGGAAAGCACTGGTTTGGCAAAATAAATTCACATTTAGTGAAATTTCTCCCCCTCGACCACAGCCCTTAAGCTAATATTACCGTATCCCCTTCCACACCCGGTGCCATTATGTCAGCCACAGCAGGGCTGTAGGCAGAGACACAGCCAGACCACAGGAACTTCGCAGGCTTCTTTCTCCATCTCCGTAGCACAGCTAAGGATCACAGCTCACACTGCAACAAACTCTGTGTTTTTTAACATAAACATCCCTTGGTGAAGTCCTGGTGAGGTCCACTACTCAGACTCACAACTGCAGATTCTCAGGGCTTCCAGCTCTAGTGGAAGGAATTTAGCATCATTCAGCAATTCCTGTTGCAAAACATCTATTATTACTACTGCAAATACTTTGTTTTTGAGGAGAGAGGAAAAGCAACAACTATTTGTCCGTTCATCACAAATTCCTCTTGCTTCTCCAACTTCAAAAGTTCTGCTGGACCTACCCACACCACAAGTAATGAGGGGGACAAAGCCAAGCTCATCTGGGCTTTGTGATTTTAAATTAAAAAAAACCAAACAACCCAACCACCAAGTCCTGGCTTTACAGATAATCAAAGAATAAAAGATCATAATCCTCAAGAGAGGAAACTGTTTAGAAAAACACCACAGTTATCAACATAGGGACCTCAGATACTTTTATGAATGAATGAAAGGTATGATGCCATGAGTATCGTTGTCTTTGATGCACATTAATGCTTTGCACTTGTAACTGTTTTCTCCCTTTATTCTCTAAATGCTTTGCAAATGTGATTAACCATCATCCTGCTCACTTCCAAAGTGGATACTGAACTGAAACAGTGCAAAGAAGCTCTCTGGGAGCAACTGCATCAATGAAAGACAAGCCCTTGCTGCAGGCTAAAACTAAGCCACTATGTGTAGTGCTCATTGATGAGACACATTTGGAGAAAAAAAAAAGGACAAAGCAGCAGGCTACACCTCGGCAAAGAGCACCCTACAACTTAGCTCATGACTGACTGCTTTAAGGCCACAAAGCTCAAAATGAGACAAAGCTCCTGGCTCCCTGCCCTGCTTTCTATTTATGGATTTAAGCCGCTTCTCAGCTATAAAATGACTGAATGTGGCAAATACAACATTTGATAAAGCCTTGACATACCTCAGAGAAGCGTTAAATGTCCTGCTCAGATGTAGTTGCAAGATCTTCACCTCGAAACTGATGCCCTTGAACCCCATCAGAATACATCCCTAACCTTTATACCTTTCAAATCTGACTTTACTGGTAGGAACTGCCCCCCCTTCAATCACATTTTCCCCTCACTTCCAAATCTTTACACTTCCCCTCTAAACCTCACCACATTCTCTCTTAACAGAACTGAAAGATCCTGAGCTATTTCACTCTGCCTTGTGCTTTAGAGCAATGAGAAAAAGCAATGCTTGGACAACTCCCAGGAGCAGCTGGAGAGAGACCAGTCTCTACAAGATGAGACTTCACTTCCGTGTCACAAGATGGAAGATGCTGAACTCCCTGTCGTCTCCTTCTCCAGTCACAGCCAACTGCTTTGATAATATCAATCACCAACAAAGGTTGGTGTTCAACTGTCAAGAACTGGCCCTTAGGGAAGCAATTCCTCAAGAGCCTTTTCTGCAAGGTGTAGCAGAATGTGTCTTCAGTTGTAGCCCATGACCAACAACCCTTCATAACGCATTTAGCTTTTCTGCTTTTGGCTGCAAATCAGAATTACAGTGCTGAAAAGCTCACATCTAAGGGAGGAACAACTAGTCCTTCTAAATACATAACAGCTGCACAAAGAGTATGCGTGCATGAATAATAGATTGCTGATATTTGTACAACTGCAGTTGAGAAATACTCTCCTTCAAGATCCTCCAAAAGGTCAACGCTGCTTCAGAAAGTGCTTATTTTTTGACAAAATGGTAGATCATGGAGATAAGCTCTTTAAAAGATGAGAAGAGGGGAAAATGATTAAATGGCGAACACTCCATTTTGTTTTTCAAAAAGCCCAAATAAGGTATTTCGGTTGAAAGCTCTTGATTATATTTTGGTTACTGAAGCAAGTTTTGGTCTAAAACTGTGTATTTATGTGGTGACTCCTAGTAAGGAAAACTAACAGGAGTTTTATAGCAATTACAGCATGTACCTTAAAATTATTAATGACTGGAATGATGATTAAAGAGGCCTGACTCTCAGGGAACAGGTGCTCAGCAGTTATTCGGAAAAAAATCAGACTAATTCTTGGCCTGTTGGTTTGGCATTCAGATCCTCTCCCCACCCACACCATCCCACAAGCTCACCCCAAATCATTAACTGGCTTAATAATTCTTGTCTTGGTATGGTATTAATAAACACCAAAATTGTCTTTTGAGCTCTAGTTAATTTTGAAAGCGTTTTGGGTTTTGGTTGGTTGTTTTGTTTTTGGGTTTTTTTTTTTTTTTCAATAACACTGGCCAACTAACACTGTTTCCAACACAGAATTTCAGAAATTTCTGAAATTTAACTTCTGCACTAGTTAAACTCTTACTTATCCAACTGTCTTTTGGTTCATTTTAATAAATAGATTTTTCCTGAAAGAAGTTTTCATTTTTAGCCCCTCAAGTCACTACTAAGTGCTTGCAACTCTGAAATGCACTCAGGTTAACAGAGGTTGCTGTATTCTAATTCCCAACTATAAAATAAAAGAAAGGGCCTGGAAAACTGCAGGCTTGGCTAAGAGGCAATAGAATTAGCAAAGACTTTACATGATGCTATCACCAAGCTACAGGTGGAATATCAAAGAGAGTAAGATGCTATAGGAGGGGAAAAAAAATAAAGTTTATGCTTCAATCATATCTTGTGATGTTGCTGTGATAGTCACCATTAAACCTCTTCTAACAAAAAAAGCACTAAAACTGTACTCCCCTGCTTTTCAGGATAGTTCATTGTTTCCAGATCAACTACTAGCAAAGAGGGATTCTTCACTAAAAGTTTTGAATGTCAGCTATGAGAAATCCCTTAAAGAGCCATTTAAAGGAACAATATCAGAGTGGATTACTTCAAATTTTTTTCTTTCTTCTAAAAAAGTCTTCAACCTATATCCTCTTTATTAATTTGCTAGCCTGCATACTTATTTTCTAACTACAAGTTCTCCCTGTGTATTTATAAAACAATTTGTTCAGCTTTGTGGATGGTTCTGAAATAGAACTGCTACTCCTTACTAAAAAGAATAAGGTAGCATAGGGAAAACACAATAATGATGAAAATTATTTAATTGTTAAGCCTCTTATTCTTCAGAAAAAACAGGTTACGGTTAAGGATTTTCCTTGGGTTATAATCCTATCACAATATATTTTGCTGATAATCCCTGATTTGTTCAAAATAGTTAAAAAGAAATATAAAGGTATCTGTATTTTAATCACAGGCTTGATTAAATAATTTTTTTTAATATGCCTGTCTACATTTAGTTAGAAGAATATTTTGTTAAGGACAATGACTATGCTTCTGATGATGAAAATGCATGTTATTAGGGAAGCAGACGGAGTGAAACAACTCTTAATCCAAGTTATATCAATTTATACCTGTTTAAGCTCTTGTGCTTCTTCCTGGGAGATCTTCTCTTGCTTCTGCAGCTGAACCTCATCGTTGTCCATCCCTTCTCCACCTCCCAACAGAGAGCAGGGCTGTACCACTCCTCCCAGAAGTCCTGTGGCTGCAAGAGAAATTCCCGTGGTCAGACTGCCATCTCCTGTACCAATGGGGAGGACTAGTGCTAGTATCAAACTGGTTGACCTCTACTTTGCTCCAAAGCAGTTTGCAAGGGGACAAGCGTACTCAGAGAAGCCTAACCCAAGCTGGCTCGTTAAGCTATGTTCTTCTAGAAAGGATTCAAACTGTATTTTGTACAACACATAACCCAGAGGTGACCAGGCTGCCGAGAGATGACTTAATATTAAAGGCAGCATTGGGAGAATGGGTTGATTTTGGGCTGTGGGGATTCATCTGAACAGAAAGCAAAGCAGCAGCAACACACTCCCAACCAGATAAACGAGGATTCTCCACATGCTGCTTCTTCTCTCTTTAATCTTTTTAATTAAAGAATTTAAAAGTGATGGATCAGGGACAGAGCCCAAGAGTCAAGTCAGCAAACCCCCGAGACAGAAGGGCAACACTGACGCTAACAGCCACCCCCAGCTAAGCAGCGTGGACGCAATCCCTCATGTAACATGCCACCTGTCCTTTATTTAAAGCATCAGCTCTTATTGCAGTATCTGATACTACCCAGTAGGGTAGCAGGGACGTGCTGCAAGGAAAGGTTGTTATTTCTAATGCAGATGGGTGCTAAACACCCGAGACACATCTTGGCTCCTAGAGGCGCTTCAAACATCTCCGAAGCTCTCCCACTTAAAGAGGTACCAAGGAGGAAGATAACGCTACCGCTGCCACCTGTGAGCACATGGTCTGACCCAGCACAGGACAATGACAGAGGCTCTCATGGACTGAAAGCACTTCAGATGCCAGAGCCCACTGCCAGGCCAAAGAGCTCATGCCCAGCTGGCTGGCCAATTGACAGCATACACCCGACCGTTTTGGATAGCATTACTTCCCCACGAAAAGGGAGACAAAAGCTAAACCCAAAGCACCAAATCCTAAATCCCTCTCAAGTAATTACTGCAAACTCATAATCCCTGGAATTATTCAGTTATCAGCCTGAGTCACTGAACTCGGACACCATCAAGATTTAAGACAAGCAAGTCATTCACTCTGCTAGTGTTACCCTGGGCAAATACTCCCCGTATTCAGAGAGCCTAAGAACCAGGCACCGAAAAATGCTGCTTATGGTAAATTACTGTCATGGTGTCCCCCAGAGGACAAAGTGGAGATGGAATGACACACCTTCCTACTGCAGCAAAGAGCCAGAGAAGATTCTTTGTGTTTCTTATCAGCTGAACGTCACCGTATGCTAATTATTTAATTAAAAACAATAAATCTATCCATTTCACTCCATTAATATCGCTGAGGACAATAACAGGAGTGGGATATGACAGACGCACACAAAAAAAATGGGATGAGGAAGGAGATCTGTCATTTCCCAGCAAGTTTCTAGTTTAAAAAAAAGGGGATGGAATGTAATAGAAAAGCAAAAACATATAAAAAGCAATTTTGTTTCATCTGTGTTACACCCAGTTAGACTGGGAGACTCGCTGCCACCACACGAGGACAAGAAGCTACCAAATCTCAAATCACAAAGGGCTGCAAACTCATAATAATGAGAATACTGGGTCACAGGAGTAAGAAGGAAAAATTCAACAGCCTTGAAAGGGATAAAAGACTGCAAGTGCCAGTCTTTGGCTACAGGATTGAGACAGAGCTGCCCTAGATTGTTATAATGCAGATGCACTGTAGGATTTCTTGTGCTTTTTAATCCTGGGTAGCTTTTATCAGCCATTATTGAAGACAGTATTCGCTACGAAAGTACTGGCTTGATCCAGCACGGGAGAACCTCTGTTACAAAACAAACCTCGCTGCTCTGTCCTGAGCATTTAAACCCCCACACGGCTTGGTCTGAAAAAATACAGTCAGGAAAGACATGCAAAGCAACTAAGAATAATTTCAGATAATCTGGTGTGTCTAAAACTCTTCACAAATTCCTCTTCTAGGTGGAATCAAGCCAAAACTCTTAGGAAAGATGAGGGTTTTTTTTTCTATTTACTTATACAAGTGTGCAATATGCACAACTTTAAGGCAGGACTAGTATAAACAGACAGGATCCAGATGAGACGAGGACAGTTGTGGAAAAGTTCACGTCTCTGAGCTGCACCACTGAGGGCAAAGACAGACATATCTCCGTTGCAAGGATATTTCTCCTATAAGTCTCTGAATCAACATTCGTTATCTGAAAATAGACGCCTATATTTTATGTGTACACAGAGGCAGGCATGCATAATATAGACTCCACACACACACCCGTGCTTTTAGGGGAAAAAAAAATAAAAAGAAAAATGAAAAAAATTAAAAATCAGTATTTCCACCATGTGAACAGCCATGGAAAAAACCCAGAGGTTCAAAGACAGTCCGTGACTGCCATCTTGCGACAGAAGACAGATGGTGACAGGCTCCGGGGAAGGAACAAACAGGGTTTTGGTGGAGCTGGAGAAGTCAGGATTTCCATAACCTCCAGTTTTCTTTACTGACATTTCCAAATTAAACAGTCAAAATGCAGGTGGGGGTAGGAGAGCAATATCCTTGACTCACTGACTCAGATGCAAACAGAGCAGAGCAGTGGGAAATTAAGCATAGTAGGGCTGTATAACCAATTATTTTATGTAACCAGTCTTAAGACCATCAGGAACTGAACACCAATTTGTTGGAATAACTCAGCGCTTAAGAAACCAGCAGGTTGTTTTTCCTCTAAGTTGTTGTGCTGACATTTTAGTGCCAGATGCCCAAGACTTACTTCCTTAAAAATTAACAAGCTTTTCCAAGCTATGGCCCTTGACAACTCATCAACAAGAGGACATTTTCCTCCCTGCTGAAGCCCAGTTTTAGCTCCGTGCACAGAAATAGGTTCATCTATTGTTCTATTGTATCACTTTTCTACTTGTTTTTAATACACTGGCAATAAATTCATCCATCAATTTGTTCTTTTGTCATCAACAGTTAGGAAAAAAAAAAAAAGGATTCAGGCGTGTTCATAGAAATAAATTCCTAACAAGACAAAAATTCACCAGCTCTCCCAATGAATCCAGGGTTGGATTACAGAAACAAAAAAACAAAAACAAAAAACAACAAAACCACACACCTCCATGGAATTTTAGAAGTAATAGTAGTAAGGAATGTCACTTATTGTTGTGAGAGTTTCAGTCTACTGTGCTATTTTAAAACGATCAAACTAGCATTCACCTAATCTGAGACCTAAAATCTACTAAACACAAACACCTGAGCTCACCCAATAATAAAATTACATTTTTTAAGCCATGAAAATTAACATGTTTATCTTATTTATAAACTTGTCAGACTGGAATTTTGTTTGAAGCTTTCCACAATTAACTGAACAACAGGTTTAATATAAATATGCTTCCAGCTACAAACTGACAAAGGAAAAATAGCAGTGACAGAGGACTCTGAAGCATGCAGTCAGGAGAAAAGAATGGATTTCTAATGACCCTTCCCCACAGAGTGGCACAATACAGAATAGGTGACCACAGGAAAAAGAATGATATTGAGTTAAAACACAGGCCAGTAGCTGAGACTCAAATTAAGCTAATCCATTCACAAAGTGGTGTGGAGTTAGTGACAACACCAGTTGAGAGCACAATGTTAAAGGGGGCTTGGCATGTTCCAGCTGTCAGGCTCCTGAGGGACACTCAGCTTCAGCATCTACAGTCACAGGTTTTGCTAATGTAGTTGGGAGAAAGTAAATCCAACTAAATTTAAAAAAGAGCCACACATTTCTGTCATCTCTAGCCCCTCTCTCTCGGCAAGAGGGTCTAAAGTCACCTGGCAGTTATTGCTTGCCTTTTATGATCAGCATGGTCTCACTGTTTGGGCAGGGGGGAGAGGATTTGCCTTGTAAATATTGTACACTATTTTGAGTTTGAAAACTTCTGATGCTTATTGTTACTGCTTACAGATGGATTAGTTTGTCTGTCACATACCTGCTTGCCAAATGGAGGTCCCCAAATCCACCTGAGGAGATTTCCTGGCACCAACAAATCCTAGGGCATCTTCTAAAAACTGTATCTTCTTGCTAAACTGCATCTCCAAGATGGGGATTGCTTCTGGCATCTTTGCTGACAAGAGCCGGTAAGAGGTGTCGGGCTTCCCAATAAATCTCTGACGGACACTGATTTCATATGGCGTATGAACTCTGATATCATCTACATCCCTTGATTCAAACCGGTGAATGACCTGAGAATTGCAGTCACTGATTTCCAGGCCAGAAGCGAAAAGTGTGAGTTTTCCTGGCTTGACATTTGAGTCTGTTCTGTGGGTGATAATAACTGGAATTCTCATTATGATTCCTTCCTGGTTCTTCGAATCGGAAACTGTGGCGGTTTCCTTTGGCTTGGTTTCCAATGGCACTTTCCAGAGCTTGCTGCTAAATGGCCACCAAGAAGGAGATTCAAGCTCAGTCAACAACCTAGGGGAGAAAAGAGAGTGTTAGAAGAGTGAAAGCCAGTAGAAGGGTCATGCTACCCCACCAGTTCAAAGCAAATTACTGCAGACACAAAGATTTCTTAATACTGAATCCAGCCCTCTTATTTCACTCATCAAACCTATTCACAGCTTACTAGGATTCATCAGGTTTAAAACCCAGCATTTCTTCATTTGCTAACGTGTTGGAAAGTGGTCCCAGAATCTCACTGTTCTGATGCAAGAAATCCAACTTCCAACTGGATTTATTCAGGCCAATTTAGACCCATCTGTTCTTCAGCTAACACTGCCTTTTACCTCAATGTTTCCACACCTGGCCATCACCACCACTGCATTTTTCTTTTCTTTTCTTTCATACCTCAGGCCCATAGTCTGACACCACCTTTTACTTTGCCCCCACTCTCAAATTCCCACTGCCAGTTAAAGAGTGCAAGGCTGAGGCTGAAAAGTCCAGCAGAGACTGCCCACTGGCATCCAGCATCTGCCTCACCATCAATGCTAGCATAGCTCCTGACGTAGACAGGCCTCCTTGCTGGGAAACTGGTGCCTCACCTTAAAGGTAACTGGACTCACTTGATGGAGGAACTAAGCAACTGGTCCCAGCAAAGACCACTATATAGCCAGAAATAACACAGGCAGTCAATCCCTTTATTTCTAAGCAAGAAGATGCACCTAAGCAGACACCTGAGTTTATCAGCTACAGGCAAGAAAGATGGAACACGCTGTTAGGAAGAATCAATGATCTAGAGGACACAATCCTTCTGTTGTATTTTCTATCAGCATAGCCCATTCCCCTTTTCTGACATCCTCTCCCAAGAAAGGAGAATGATCACAGATATCTTTGGGTCTAAGCCTCACCACTACTCTTTTCACCAAAAAATGTGAGAGAGGGAAGGTGGTAGTTTTGGTCTGATTTTCCCTGTGCTGTGCTGCCTATCTGTTAACACTTCCAAGTCTAGACAGGAGTTAGAGGCAGAGCCACAGTCAGCATCTATGACCCTCCGTTTCTTCTGCTCTCCTCTCATCCAAACCCATCCTGCCAGCAGACAATCCTGTGTTTCAGGATGACTCAGCCTCAGTGGCTGGAAAGAAATTTTGGGGCCAGCTACATCTCCCTGTACAGCCAACAGTAATTTCATATGCCCCTACTCTGTTCCACTGTGCAACCAGCCACCTCTGCCCCCCACCAGCAGGCTCTGGTACCCACCTCACATCTGAGCTGAAATGGCTTGTCTCCAGTTGCAGGCAGACACAGGAAGAGGCAAATCAACCCTCTGGGATACATCCACTGCTCAAACTACCCTACCCAGTCCCCACTGGAAACAGCAGTGAGCTGACTGGAAGCATCCCACAAACCAAACCATCCTGCAGGCAACTAGTCTGATCAGGATGTTTTAAATGGAGATTTCTCAGCCCACCCCTCAGTTACTGAAGAGAAGAGGGAAGCCATCGCTGGAGGCACACACGGATTCTCAACTAATAGGAGTGAAGAATTTAAACCAAACAAAAAGAAAGCTCTAAGGAAGTTCAAGCCAGATCAGAATTATGTGCCCCCCAACCCATAAATGCCTTAAAGACTACCTAGTGGTAAGGCATGTGTCACTGTCATGGTAGTTGTAGTAGATGCTTCTAATGAAGCCAGATGACATGCAATAAAATCTTTAAACACTCATCTTATTGATGCTACAAAAGACTATTTACTGACTTAAATCCTAGAGATGTAAGCATTATCAGACCAAAATACAAAGTACTACTGTTTCATTGCCATTTTGGAGAGCCAGCTTGATTTAATTTGCTTTTAAATTTACTCTAGAAAGGTACTGCCTAATAAAATATGCATCACAGCAGTGCTGCTCTCAAGATACTTTTTGTAATGATTTATTTTCCATGAGAGAATCAGAGTGTGTATACAGAAAACTTTGCAATTTTAAAATCCTGTTTAATTTGGCTGCAGACAAAGTCTAATCTGAAAGAGGAAGCTCTAACTGAACAGGCTTTGTTTACTAGCCATCAAAGTTCTGCACTGGCTTCAAAACAGACCTACTTAAAGAAATTCGTCTGCTAGGAAAAGCAGAAAAAGTCATACTGAGAGTCAACCACTGAATTCATGGATAGTGGAGGAAGAATGAATTGTTCCAAGAATCTACTCCCAACTAAAGCATGAACATCAGATATTTATGTACATAGCATGCAACATGAGTAATGGGTCTGGAGCAATTCACTGCCCTCTGAAAATGCTGCAACACTCCTTAAAAAAAAGGAGGGAGGGGAAAAAAAAAAAAAAAAAAAAAAAAAAAAAAAAAAAAAAGACTGACCAAAGGAGATGTAACAAAGTTCTACAGTAACAGAATTTGAAATGGCACGGTATCATAGATTTAGGATGAATTCTAAAACTATGAGGTTCAACTTAAGTTCAACACAGAGAATGACTGAAAAAGCCCTAGGCTCTGCTAGCACACACCACCTTCCAAATTAAAAGCCATGTTCTAACCTACCTGCAGTAACTAAACAGAAGCAAATGACCTGATCTCATTTCTACAGAATGCAAAGCACGTCTTCTGTCCTCTTGGGGTATGAAAGAGTTACAAGAAGGTACTTTAGGATAAGAACAGGTTATGTCTGTGTCTTAACCTGTGAAAAGTGTCATTCAATTCCTACTGCAATATGGGTTCACTTCATCAGATGCACCGTGAGAAAAGCATGTGTGTTCACTTACTGAAAAGCAGCTGCAATGTGACAAGTCTTAACCTCCATTTACACTGTAGTAACTTATTCTGGATAGCTTTAAGCCTTAATTTTTATCTCTTTATCCCTTCACCCATCTCCTCCCCTCTTTCCCCAGGGACTGACATCCTGGTTGAGCAATGTCTGATTTACAGTCAAGATTTTGCTGCTGCACAGCCCTAACAAAGGCTCCAGCCAACTTCCCTGGCCTTCTACGGAGGAGTCAACCCTCTGTATCAACAAATAACTCTATAACCGGTCCTTGTGTACAAATGAAAATTTGCAACCAGAGTACCTTGTCCTCTAATAGTAAAATATTAGAAAGGAATCAGTGAATCTGGCTTTCTGTCTATGTTCGGTCTTTGAACATCTGCTAGCATGTCAGACTCAGCTCTGCTTATCTGCATGCAAGTGCGCTGAAAGCAGCTGTATATACCCAGGCATACACAAAAAAAACCCACACATGCAGGCAAAATAAAGTTAATCAAAGTTTTAAACATATGAAAGTAGATAAACAGGCCTGGTTCTTTTTATGAAAAACACCACCACCAAATGGGTTTTGCTCATATAACCTTGAGCTAGCAGACACAAAAGTTTGTTACCAATGTTTCCTTCAGCACAAAATCTGCTACACATACCAAATAGTCCTGCATGATATTATCCATGCAGCTACATCTCACCAAGTTTCTAAAGAAAGCAAGAGTCAAAGAGCCTTTAACAGTCTGAATTACCTAACCAGTAACAATCAAATGAATTTCAATCACGGTTTTCCTCATTTTCTACATTGGTTAGGGACATGAAGAAAGATGTCATCAGTTTAAGCGAATTTGGCAGGGAAGCACCTTTATCAGAAAAAACACACACACACACACAAACTATGATAGAAAACTAAGAGTTACAACTCCTCAAAAAACACAGTGCAATTAAAACACAGCTTCACTAATGGCTTCTGGGCTGCATTTTAGTCTGCGAGCAAGCTGGCCAAACTCTTCATGCTGTAGATAAAACAGAATCTCAGCTAACATTTGGTCAATGCCTTCCTTTATTTTTATATTTTTAAATCAAAGCATCTTTGCTTTGAATCTCTTCAGATTCATGAGGACAAATAATACCTCCCAGTACGTCTTAACCCAAAACAAAACTCTCTTCCAAAAACAATGAGCAGGTATTTATTTTCCTACTCATTGTTTATTGCTACAGAACTTTAAAAGCTATTGCTAAAGTTTTCAGTTATCTTGGCTTTTCATTAAAGGGTATGGAGAATATCAACAGAATCACTGTGAAATCAACACTTTCTTTTAGACATGATATCCATTGAAAAACAGATGCTTCTTCCAAAAACAACTAGTTTGAACTTTATTGTGTTGTTTCTTCATGAAGGTGTTAGAGCTTCTATAAAGACACTCATGGCTATATATCTTCAAACATTACAGTATTAATCTTAACCTTACTGTCTATTTTGGACTGCTATCGAATCCAACCTGCAGCATATAAAATAGCATACAGGAATTCACTTCAAATATTAATCATTAAAGTCATAACATTCTGATTAAGCCACCAATCATTTACTATTCACATTGAGTTCTGCAACAGCTAAACTTAAGCAACATCTCAAATGTGCTCCAAATCTATTTCAGTTGTCTAAAAGCAGTACTTGGTGGCTATTTTTTTTTTTTTTTAATACAGTGGCTAAAGTGCCTGATTGAGATTACCACAAATAGTCTAGTACTGTCTCTCAAGTTCTTGCACCACCACACTTTGCAGACAAAGCTCAGCAGTTCCATGTTGCTCAACACTGCTCGTATTTTCTTCAAAATATATTTATTCCACCTAGACCTAAATGCAGGGAGTATTCCACAGAAGGTTAAAAGCAGTGCAGTTTTATAGCACAAATAAAGGGGTGCTGCTTCTACAGCCATTTCCCTGACTACATCCACACCACAGACCCAATCCTCACTGCTGTGCGTAGCTGGGAAGTAATTTCTTGTGATGTAAAGGGCAAAGATAAAACCCTCAACTACACACACTTTGTATGCAAAAAGAGCCTCAAGAGCTGACTCTGACGCACAAAGAAAGGAGTACAATCTACTTGAACTAAAGATTAATTGGTGCTCTCTCCTGATAACTCTAAGAAACTGTCTCCAAGTCAGCAGCCCACCTGCCATACTCAACATTTCCTTTGAAAAGAACCGGAAAAGCAGAACTGTGGTTGTGTTTGCTGTGGAACAGCAAAACAGGCTGGTCCAAGAACGGCCAAAGTAACCAAACCCAACTTCAGTATCTGTCATTTATGCATATGCTAGGACATCTACTAAAAATGTGAATGCCATACCTTGTCCTTCAGTGGGGACATTAATTTGCATCTCTTTCCCCTAACTAGTTGCCTATTCTCTCAAAACTTACAGGTTGTTAATATTTTGGAGATCTCTATCATTTCTGCCAGTTGTGGTTGAGACTCACATGGGCTTGAAAAGTTATTTGAAGGACAGAGGACAGGTATATATACACAGACAACTTCACCAGGGTGAAAAAGTGTCAAAGAGAAGGGAGGACAGAAATACAGAAGCATCTTATAACAAGAACATCCACAGAGGACCTTCACAGGCTTAAACTTTCAGTGAAAGTCAACAGTTTAGTTTCCTAAAGACCTTTGTGGATATGCCCCACAAATTTCAGGTATCGCGATGCAATCCCACAAGCAGTGCTTATCTCAGAGGATGCTACAGTACCATACCTGTCTGCTACATCCATATCCCCTTCGATCTTGTTGAGTCCTCTCATGATGTTATCAAACTGCTCACCCTGGTAATGCAGCACTTTTGCTGTGTCCTCCAGTCGTTTCTGTGATCCAGTCAATAACCCCGTCAGTTCTTTTCCCTTCGTTGACTGCAAAGCTGCTGCTTCTGCTCCTGCAGCTTGGCTTGACAGCAACTGCTCCCTCCAGAAGTGCTCAAGGATGTTGAATACCACATTTCTGTTGGGTTGCAGAGAACTGAACCAGTGCTTGGTATTATTCTCTAAGATGGTAAGGGAGCTGAAGATTAAATTTGAAGATTCCTTCTTGATCTCACTAACACTAGAAAGATGGAAGTCGACCAGAAGCTCCCCAGTCTTGTCAGCTGTAAATTTGATTGCAACAGGAGTCAGCGAGAGTCTGCCAGAGACCCATTGTTTTCTGGTGTCCAAGTAGTAAGAACAAGGCCAGCTATGGATACGTATGTCTTCGTTCATCAGCTCGCCGTTCAGATCCTCTTCTTCAAAAGCAATGCCCTCAAAGCCAGAAGGAGAAACTAGAATGAAAGAGAACATAAAAAAAGCAAGAATCCTTAGCAACATATAAAAGCGGACATTAAAACATGCTCAAATAATTAATCCCATCCACAGTGGGCTTCCAGTACTTTCACTGTAACCTTTCAGGTGCATACACAAGATAGATTGGGAAATGGCTGCAGATGGGTTACAAAATTGGGTAAGCATTTCTAACCATCCAAATATTTCCTTCAGAAACGCTCACCCTTTCCGAACAGGACTGTCAATATTATTGTCCACCCCGTTATAAAAAGGGGAGGCAGTACTGTTAGGTTTCAGCATGTGATTTACAAGAGCACAAACTTCAAATGACTATTGCATTAATACCCTGGTATTTAATAACTGCTGTGCAGTTTTGGACAGGGGAGGTGCTTTGTAATTCAATTAGTCCATATGTTCACACACATACGCTCAAATTTTTGGGTGGAGGGAAACCTACCTAATCGTGAAAATCTATTAGTAACTTTTCTGAGGCTTTCACATACCCTTTTCACTGAAAAGTGATCATATGAAAATTTTTCCATTCCCAAACCTCATCATCAGGCGCAGCTTCCCATAGACCAACAGGTACTGAAGAAAATCCAGAATATACCAAAATGCAAGTTCACCTACATGTATCTGCAACAATCACAACAAATAACTGGTCCTTCCCCTTCCACTCTGATACCTCAACATCCAGGTATGTTAAGAACACACCCAGAATATCTATCCAATGTATCCTACAGTGCAGGTGAAACTATAGCCACCATTGACCAGAACTCACAATCATTAAAGAGCAGAAACACCCAGCCACAATTGGATAAATATGCTTCAGAAATCATCACTATCTCGAACCATCACTCTTGGTCTCAGGAGAGATTTACAAAAATACCTATCTTATAAAACTCAAGTGGATATTGGAACTTCTGGTAGACCCCCACAGCCAAAATAAACCCACCAAATCTGTAGCATTTGTTCCATGGAATACTCATTGTTGCTCAGTTACTATCAAAGATGTCTGGAAATAGGAGCTTGGGAAGAACTGGAAAAAAACCTAGCAGCACTGCTGGGAAAACCTTAACTGACCCAAGTGGAAGTTAAGATGAAAAAGGTGCCATAGTGGTATGCTGCTAGCCTGGTATGCTGAGCAACTCCACACACATGATAGCAGAGCATGCTGCAGCAGAGCTGGCAGAGGCTGGTTTAAGAGAGCCAGGAGAACTGACTCTGGTCACTCAGCATGAAGGGACACAATGTTCAGGGCAACGGTGACTTCATAGCACCTCTGTGACAGCCCATGTTTTCCCAGGAGCCTGTGATGCTATTTGATGACATAATGTTAATCCTATAGGACTTGCTCACAGATATCTGGAATCCCATCAAGAAAACAAAGAGCTGTCATATGCCTGAAGCCTGGCTTGTTTACATCAAAACAACCTCAAATCTGGAACAGTAAATTAAATGAAAAATATCTGGAATGGCATCTTCCACACTTCCAAAGAGGCTTCTTGTACCCAAGGGTCAGATTGTTTCCTGTAACATCTCCTTTATAATACTACAGTTGTCAGCCTGAACACTGAAGCCCAATTACGTTCCACAACTACTTTGTCAACACCCATTGTGTAATGGTGATTTAATTACTCGCATATCCATTATCTTCTCAAAGCCTTTGATGTATCACAGCACAATTTACAGCTTAGTACAATAATATTATCTCAGGGTGTCCTGCTACTTGTATAGAGCAATAAATGAAGTTAAATCTCCACGGAAAAATCCCCAGTTAGGTTAACACTGATGCAAATTACACCTTTTGACTTCTGTATGATCTGTTGCCCTTAAGGAAAAGTCTAAGAATCCCAACGCAAATAAAAAAGCTAATCGACCTTTTTCAGGTAGCACTGGCGTGAATTCCTGAAGATTTCCTAGTGCTTTCAGGATGGTGCATCATTAAAATCCTTTAAATAGAGTGCTCCAACTCTGACTCCAGTTTCCGTGATGTCTTTTATTAAATATATTCAAAACTCCAGTATTACTTATATAAGGAATACTCATGGCATGTCATATTCCACAAAAATCTTTGCTTTGGGTTTCATACCTTATCTCCATGGCTTTATGAATTTTAGTAATGCAAATGGGAAGAAAAAAAAAAGGAAAAAAGAAAAAAAAAGCTGTAAATCTACAAAGCAGCTGGAGTTTAACATGAAAATTTTCAATCTGTTTCAGCCTAACAAAACCACATTCTTAGAGAAATCACTTTGCACTGTACGATGGGCCAAAGAGATGGGGGAAAAGCCCACAGAAATCTGATTTAAATTAGTAGCTATAATCAACAATGATAAGTTCTACGAAATATTGTTTCTCTCTCAATTGTTTGCTACATAATTTCAAAATTTAGAAAAAAATCTAAAAGCTCTGGCCTCAGTTCCTGCATCTAGAAAAAGAAGGCAGTTCCTCTAATACAGTGAGTTTAGATCAGACATACCTGATGGAGAGAAAATTTTTCCAGCCTGACTGAGCTTTGCAAGTAGCCAATTATTATAATTTCTACTTAAAGGGTATTTTCTTTCTGCTGTTCACAAAGAAACAAGGAAAAGAAAATACTTTTTATCAACCAGTCAAATGTGACTGCAGAGAAAGTGTTAGCAGTGGGATTCCACAACAGCTAGAAGCAGAACAGTGGTTTTTACAGGATACTTGAAGTGGAAAATGTTTCTAATACAGATACGCAGTTGTGTGCTAATAACAGTGTACTTTTTGGTCCTATTTCTAACAACTGTCTCAGTTTAAGCAACATAAATTACACTAGTGCTGAATCAATGATAGCTGAAACTAAATCATGTTACAGCTTTATTTATCTGGATTTACAAACTACAAATCCAAATTAAGTTTAACTGTTTGACACTGCCTAGATATGAAGTAAATACAATAGCCAACAGGTGATAAGCAAAAATAAACATCTTGTGTTACGCCCTCAAGCTCCTAGCAGCCTAAATATACTGCAGAGGCAAACGAAATTTACTGAAAAAACTCACATCAGACCCATGGGAAAAAAAAAAATAAATATTAAGCAGCATCCTCCCAATTGATCAAAACAGCACGTCACACCCAGGAAAGCAGCAGATCCCAGCCCATATAAATTAGTTTCCACCCCCTTCCCCCACCCTGTGCAAGTCTTTGCCACTTACACTAGACTAGTTTCTAAAAATCTCATAAATATCCGCATGCTGCTCACAAGAAGCTGTTGCCCTGAGATTTCGTTTGCTAAATGATGTATATAAATAATGATGAAACCAAGACACTGAAAGATTATACGCCTTGCAGAGGATCACAAGGGAAACCTGGAACCAAATGAAGGTTTCTTAACACACCCTGCTGGGACAGGCACTACAGAACATAATGTCATCTGAAAAACAACTCCTAGACCCTGCTAACAGCCACAACCACCTTCACTCAGGCACACTCCTTGCCTCCCAGTTCTACCAGGGAGGCAAGGAGAAATTGCAAACAAGGAAATGACTCTTAAACTTTCGTAAAACCTCAGCCAGAGCCCATTTTCACACACTAAGAGCTCCACAAACTCTCTCCAACCACCAGCAGCTCCCCATCAAGACAGCATTTTCCCTTTAGCCTGCTCTGTACCATTAAGGTTGTGAAAATATTAACGTCTGATGCAGTCTCACGACCATGCCATAAAAAAAGATCTTCCTAAACCATCTCTCAAGCTCCTTACCTCTATCTGTAGATGCAGAACTCTCAGGCAGCTTTTTGCAGGCTGCTGCTTTTACAGAACTGTCCATCCGTAGGTAGAATTTTTTCCCCCCTCTGAGTTATTTCTTTCTCTTCAAAGTCCAAAAGAACAGGTAAAAAATCCTGAAGCTAAAACAAAAATCCTACTATGCCCCTTACCAAAAGGAAAATATATAAATACTTGAGAATGTATATTTAACCCTGAATCTAAGAGTAAAACAAGTCCTCTCAGTCCAGGAGAAGAAATGAAGCAGTCACTTGACCTGTGTATATATATGAGTACATGCCTTAGGTCTTATGACTTTTGATTCACCTGAGATCTTAAAGGCTTTTCCTGATAGTCAGCTCCTTTCTGTGCCTGAGGCCAGAATTTCCAAGAAAGAATGTATCTGGTAATTAAATCCATTCATTGTTCCAGCATATTTTCCCCCATTAGCATCAGATCTGTACGACTTTTTTCTTTTTCTTTCCTCTCTCTCTCTCTCTCTCTCTCTCTCTCAGAGAAGAAATTTAAACCTTGCAGAAATACAGATATACTTAACGACAACCAAGACTGATTTTATTCAACAATTAAAACAAGCACCAATGGTGTAGAACATAGATACTATTTATGAACATAAAACAGCATACTATAATTTAACACAAGACTTCCAAGAGTTCAGTTAAAACAGATGAGAAATTTTACCAACATTAAATTAAAAAAAAAAGAAGAAATGGTCACAACTATTTGAAATTAACTAGAAAAAGGCATTAAATATGTACTTTACCTATGACAGTCATGCACTGTGTTGTGTAATGTCAGGCATTAACCTGTGATTGTGATTTTTGAGCAGCTAAAAACCATCATTATCCTATTACTTTTGTAACTCCATTCTCCTCTCAGTCTCATCTACTGGCAGCACTTTGCTTTTTATAAAAAAAACAGAATTTTGCCTCTGCTTCTCTCTTACCAGCTTGTCCAGCAACTACATGGAGAAGCCTCATCATACTTGAGCTGTGCAATGAAAAGCAATGTTAAATACACCAACTTCATCTCTGATGTAAACAATGAACTCACCGCTAAAGATGAAATAGCTCAGCTACTGTCCTTCAAAATGAAATTATTTTTACCCCCATATTTCCTAAAGCTTTGACAATCCCATTTCACAAACGCTGAGATAGAGGCCTTCTGCCACTTACACAGCTGTAAGGAACTATTACACAGCTATAAGGAACTATTACTCAAAATTCAGTGTCCCTCTTCCTCTCATCACTTTATTTTGACCCCAGCACCTGAAGTTCAGCATTACATCAAACACCATTCTAATCCTCCTAAAATATGACTAGAAATCCCTTATATCACAAGACATGGAATATTCATAGTTTTGTAAAATACACTGAAAAAAAGCCTCACCTGCAATAAAACAGACTATTTCAGTATTCCCACCCAGTAAAGAACAAAAAAAAATAACACACACACACACACCCCAAAAACCAAAACAACCTACACCAAACAGATCTAAATCCTTTAGAAGACCATGGAAAGGACTAGGAAAAAACAAACAAACAAAAAACAACAACAAAAAACCCCCACACCAAGTGTCTTTAAATTACTTGCAAATACAATCAAGAATAAGTTTATAAACCTGAGAGGGTTACAGTCCTTAAACCACTTCCCTGTATGCAGTGGAAGAGACATCTAATTGATTTCACAATAAATTTCTTCATATTTTAAAAAGAAATACATGTTTGCCTACACATTTGTTTACAGACCAGATGACACATTCGGTCTCTCCCAATCTGAGCTCCCCAACATCAAGACGTTATCCACATCCTGTAAATCACCTCTCTTTTTTTAATCAAACTTTGTCATTTTGACACATCTGCCCCCCACAACCAAGTGCAGTCCTATACACAGCTACACACAACATCTTAGAGCAAGAACTAGGATTAGGAGCAAAGAGATATGGAATTTTATTTCCAGCAGCTTCACCACAACATTGTATAAATTCTCTAGCTAATGCATAACTCAGTGGCTGCTTCTATAAAAAGGAGGTGACTCACCTTCTCTTGTGAAACACTTTGAGATCATTCAATGAAATGTAAGCATTACTAATTATGCCAGGCGCGAGGAGATGCTACACAAACTGGGAGAAGGTGCTGTCAGCTCACAAGCAGAACAGCGTCCCTTTGCAACACGTCCACCTCAGAGCCTCCAAAACAGTCACAGATTCTTCTCATCTGCCCTCGGTAATTATCTGCAGAACATTTCTGCACGTTTCTAAATGTGTTGGCGTTTGTTTACTTTTTCTCCTCCTTCATGGTTGAAGTTTCCATAAGGTTTCTATCTTTGGTGGTTTATTCCCAAAGCTACCATCTGGCAAATGATGAATTTAACGCTCCTGTGAGCCCAACAATCGTCATAATAAACATGCTCATAAGGCCCATCAAGTGACTCACCCCTCTTTTTTAACTGAAGGCTTAAGATGCAGTTCCACCAGGTTTCTAAGTCTACAGCTCTCCAAACGGTGCTACAAGACACAAAGCACATAGGGGTGACCCTCCAAGAGCTGCAGCAGGCAAACACATAGTACCTCTTTACTATGGCACACAGAGAAATTCAGTGCCCCTTGTCTCAAAAGATCACTGATCCCCATTGAACAACTCAAGACTGAGGGGCTTCTCCACATTAACATGTTTCCATTCCTCTGTGGAAAAAACCATTTTGATCCCACTCCATTTCTGATACAAAACAACTTTAGAAAGACTAAAGTCCCACCAACCTCTCTCAAATACATTTAAGTGTGGGATTGCTTCAGTTCCCACCCTTTAACCCACATTAGCCCCTACAGCATCCAGGTTAAACCTCATCAGCCTTCCTTTCAATCTTGATGCTGTCTCAACCTCTCCAACCCAAAACACAGACACATCTACGCTTCCCAAACCTTTCTCCCCTGCACCCCTAGGGTACCCTGCCCCACATCAGGGATGAACCCTCATCCATCCCCCTTCTTTCCTCTCACAACTTGCTCCCTTTTCCTTCCCCAATGTCATCCCTAAGACTACTTCCTTACTCCAAGATAGAACTCCACTCCCTCAAAAAACCTACTTCCATCCCTTTCTTTTCCTTTTTCCCAGTACAAAGTCTTCTTCCTCACCCCAAACACAACAGAGTCACCTGCTACACCAGATCTTTCCCCAGTCCCTGCCCTTTTTCAAATACCAGCAGAGATCCCATTCTTTCTCTAGTCTTACTAGGAAAAAACATAGGTCATTCACCCCAAATCCTCCTCTCCCTCACTGCTAGGCCAGGCTCCATCACAATCCTCATCTCTCTCTGCCACAACTCTAGGGCAAACTGATCTTGAGAGCTCTCTGATCTCCTCTCCCTGGTATCTGGTGATAGAACTTATGGGAATGGTTCAAAGCTGGAAGGTTTAGCCTAGATATTAGGAAGCATTTATTTACCAAAAAGGTGGTTAAACACTGAAACAGGCTTCCCGGAGAGGTGGCTGATGCCCCAAGCTTGTCAGTGTTGAAAGAGGCGTTTGGACAATGCCCTTACCAACATGGTCAGTCCTGAACCGGTCAGGCAGTTGGACTAAATGATGGCTGTGGGTCTCTCCCAGGTGAAACAGTCTGTTCTATTCAAATCCCCACACCCCCTCTCCGTGCTTACCCTTTCTCTAAGTCAGATGACACCCCAAATCCCCATTCCCGTTAACTCCACCACCTCTAAGCCGGACCCGCATCCCCATTCCTCCCCCCGAGGCCAGACCCACACCCCCTCTCGCTGTTTACCTTTCCTCGACACCCCAATCTCCATTCCCGTAACTCCACCACCTCTAAGCCAGACCCCCATCCCCATTCGTCCCCTCCCCAGGCCAAGCCCCAACCTCTCCACCCTCACCCTCCTCTCCAGCTTAGGACAAACCACCCTTCCCAGACCCCTACCCAGACCCTACCAACCTCCACCTTTCCTCCGAGCCTCTTTACACCCTTCCCGGCCTCCCCCCATGCCCTCAAGCCCTGTCTCTTATACA